ATGATGAGCTCCGCCATCGTCGTCATAAAAGCCTAACGCGGAACGAAAGGGTTCACTTATAAAGGAATTTTCTTCTATTTTCATATTATTTGGGTTAAAGCTAATATAACATGGACGTATTTTCAATGATATCCTTATTTTGACGACTTAGCAACAAATAATTTGTTGTGATATTTGAAAAAGCCTTACTGCTTACAAGTTTACAGTAGCCGCTTCTTGTTTAATGAACCTGAGAAGGATGCATATTGATAGGAAGTCCCAACGCTGTAAATAAACTAGTTATAGTCGCATACCAGGCATGAAAGATGTTTCTATGGCATAAACATTGTTCTGGCTAAACTTTAAGACATGACTGTTCTGGAAGCCACTAAACGAAGGTTGTTGCAGAATACTGATAATCCTGTGATTAAAATAAAAGGACTAGTGATATTTGGTTTGAAGAATGTGTCCAATTCAGAATAAATAGACGCTCAATTTGGAGTAGGTAAGGGACTGTGGAAAATTTTTAAGGCTGCCATGAAACAATCATTTCATTGAAACTATACGTGACCTATTTACACTTGTTAGGAACCCAAAGCACCTTGTTTCGCTATGTTTCTATGAGAATGTTGATCGCTTTATCTGAGAGGGCTTGAATTGAACAATTTTAAGTGATAAACTAATTTGTAAATGATTTAGGTCGTCATAATTCATGTTTATTTTACTAGAATTTATGGCATTTAAAATGGGGTGTGCGATAGACTTACCTCCACGTGGTGCACCCTGGGCAACGTATGCTCATACGGCAAAAAAGTCTATAAGCTGACAGTTGACTTCTGACTTCAAAATACCATGGCGCCACTGTATGCCATATTCGACCACTTTCACAGTACTCATTTTACCTTTTTTGCCTTGTGTCTGTCTGCCTCTTTTACTTCTGTGAATCGCTCTTCAATTTCTACCTTCGTGTCTGTCTGTCTCTTTTACGTCTGTGAATCATTATTCTCCTCCCCTTCCTCGACTTTCTGTCTACTTTGATGAACCCTCCCTCTGTGAAGCCTGAAGTCAGCTATTTTGATGAACCTTCCCTCTGTGAAGCCTGAAGTCCGCTAAATCCCGAAGTCAACTAAAGGGCTAATGATAGCTATCAAAACGTGAAGTCAGCTAAAGGGCTAATGATAACTATCAAAACGCCGGCCATTTGAAATAAATAAATAAATATTGAAACTTCATTATGAACCATTTGAAATAAATAAATATATATATATATATTTTGAAATAAATAAATGTTATGGCATTGAGTGACTCAGCTAAATGGCTAATGATATCTATCAAAACGCCTGCCACCAACTAAAGGGCTAATGATAGCTATCAAAACGCCTGCCATACCGAAGTCAGTTAAAGGGCTAATGATAGCTATCAAAACGCCTGCCATTTGAATAATTAATGATAGCTATCAAAACGCCTGCCATTTGAAATAAACAAATAAAATAAATAAATGGCATTTAAAATAAATATCAATTGCTCCTTTAGGCAGACACGAGGTAACTTTTATAATTTGCATGAATTTCGATATTTGCAGGACTTATATTTCAACTAAATTGAACCGAATAAATGAGGATTCTGATTCTATAGAGTAACATTTCTTTTTAAAACCCGAGTAGTAAATGAGCTCATTTTATTACCAATATCCTACTAATTTGAGATATTTGAGACGGTAAATGTTATGATCATTAAATTTAGAATCAGATTTAATGCCGTTTTTTATAAATAACTTTAAAAAATCGTCTTTTGATCGATATGTGTTGCGAGTTTCCTTACAACAGGTTTTAGATTTGCCCTTTAGAGAGGTCAAATAAACAATGCACATTAACTCCGCGATGTTTACTAACCTACGGTGAACTTTTGACATACTCATCTTTAAAACCCTCTTTAGCTGCCTGCTGCTCTGTCAAAGTTGGCAATCGTTCATTTTGATTTGGAGTCCTTTGATTCGCTAATTTGCGCCTAAATTGTTGTTCAACTCGGTACTTTCAAATTTTGTTGAACGATCCTCTCTTGTTTTTGCACCGTAGTCGAGACACAATTGGTATCGTTCTCTCTCCTTAAGTGGTCAAGATAGGAAAAAAAGATTGACAACACAATTTCACTATCTACCACGCATTTTCTAGGTAATTGCTTCTTTTGCATTTCTTTACTAAGGGCTAAATGGAAGTATCCACAATAACACTGAAATCTTGACTTGTTCATTTCGTAGACCAGTTCGGTGGTTTTAGAAATTTTACTAGCTTTTGTCATTTTCTGCTTCCATTTGGAATGTGAACTTTCACAATGATCCCATTTAAATACAGTTTAAATAGTCTCATATCGATTAGATCTTTAAGGGCATTCGGTACTTTTCAATAATGCTGCAAGATCCAGATTTTTGAAAAGGAGTGGGAAACTTTGAACCAAGGAATTAAGAATTCTAATTCATTCGTTATTCACTTCAGATTATAGTGGTGATTAGTAATATCAGATCGTCCAAACACACTAGTATTATACTGGGGTGAGCGATAGACTTACCTCCACGTGGTGCACCCTGGGCAACGTATACTCGTACGGCAAAAAAGTCCATTAACCGGCAGTTGACTTCAAACTACCATGACCCCACTGAATGACATATTCGACCACTTCTACAGTACTACATCGCCTTTTTTCTAAATTTTCAACCTTTGTCTTTGAAACCCTCTTCAGTTCCCCTCATCTCCGCTTTTTTTCACTTTGAAGTTCCTTCCCCACTGTGATGCCTGAAGTAAACTAATGGGCTTATGATAACCATCAAAACGCCTGCCATTTAATATAAATAAATAAATATTATACTTTACGTGGTAAAAAAAATAGCATACACTAACCCACACTGGAAGTATGCAAATGAATAACTTCAATGGTTCAATACTTTTCGTGGTTTTGGGGCCGTTTTTACCTCCTGAAGCATTGAAATAATCCATTTTGAAAGTATAATAGTAAGATCAAAAAATTAATGGAAAACAGTATGTAAAGGAATGGGAGCAAAACAGTTTTTAAAATTTGTGGGCATGGGAATTTATTTCAAAATTGGAATTTACTCGACTAAAATCGCCTACTAGCGTATATTTCTCCGACGACCACACACGAATTCCCGACTATACGACATTCCCTTCTCCAAACTCAGTTTCTGCTCTAAGAGAAGTAGTTAATCATGAGCACGAAAGCGGCAATGAATCCAGAACCCGTCATTATTGCTATCCTCCCAGCAGGATTACATCCATCTACGTTGCATTTGTGGTACGTAGTTTTGGTGTTAGCTCCAGTTCCAGCTCGCTCTATTACAGTTACCTGTTTCCGAAGGTCATCATTTGAGCATCCACGGAGGTAACGCACCATTGGTTCCCTTTCTTCACCCATCATAAGTTTGAATTGTGATTTCTAAAATACGTGCATGAATTAAAACAAAACGCGAGAAAGAACACACCATCGTGATGAACTCGCAGGACAATGCTTCGGGAGGGCAATCATGTAGTGGAACTAGGGTTGTGTTCAACGGGTAGCAGCCAGGTTGCGTGTGGGACTGGCATTGATAGCATTTTATGGCATCGGCAATGGCGAGTGTTGAAAGAAGGAGGCAAATGGAAAGCACAACCTGTCTGCAATTCATGTTTTCATCAACTATTTTCATCAAGGTATGAACAGACTTCCAATCAGTGAAATTAACCAATGAGAAAGTAAATTAAGATGTGGTTGGTGTAACTTGGTGCCGCTAATAAGACATTCATCACGTACACTTTTAAATCAATAGCGGGTCTCTGAAAATGTCACTCTATTTCGAATAGCACCAATCATTAATTTAAAATAGATTTCAATTAGAAAGCACATGTATGATTGAATTAATTCAATCTACTTCAAATACTGACTTTTGTGACTCCTAAAAATTACTTAAGTGTGAAATAGTGATGCCGGTTAAAATTACTCTAACTTTAAGAGTAAATAGTTATTCTCATTTAAAAGCGGTTTTTTCATTTTAATACGCATATGGTATGCATGTATGAGTTAGCTAAAGTTTCTCTTCACTATTTGTCTCTATTCAATGACCGCAATTGTACGTTGAGCATCATCTGTATCAACACACCCTGAAACGGGAATTTTCGCCAAATATTTTAGATCAAATTTATTATAAGGAAATTCAATCACGTTTTAAAATATTTATTAAAATAGAATATTTACGCATAACCGGAATTTACTAAACAATTAATCCTCTTCTGGCAACTTGGATACCACGAAAATCTCATTTTGGGGATGGATTGTCGCATTTTAAAGTCCTATGGCATTGAAGGCCTTCTCAAAAAAAGATTTTTCAAGGAATATTAATATTTTTGTCTTTGGAATTTTGTTTTACAAAGGCTTGATTAATGGACATTCACTGTTTTACGTTCGGAAATTTAAATCTCGATGTTCTTCCCACAAATTCTTCAAGGTTATTCCTCTCACGATCAAATGATTATTGGATAAGGGTGATATATAATACTTCGTTCCTTTTGTTGTGATTGAATTGGCTTGTTATAGAATATGGCATTCGTGTTGTATCTTTCAGAATCAGTCTTATTTAGCATCTCCATCTGCATTCGTGATTTCACCAAAACAGGGAACTTTTGCACCGCGTCATTCTGAAGTCATTTCACCAGCAAGGAGAGTGAGATAGACTTACTTCCACGTGGTGCACCCTGGACAAAGTATACTCATACGGCAAAAGTCTATTAACCGGCAGTTGATTTCTGACTTCTAACTACGATGACCCGACACTATGTCATATTACACCACTCCACAATACTGATTTTGACTTTTCCCTACCTTTGTTTCTGTCTGTCTGTCTGTCTCTCTTACATCCGTGAATCCCTCTTCTGTCCCTCCTCTCGAATTATTCCCACTTTGATGCTTCTCTCCTCTGTGAAGTCAGCTAAAGGGCTAATGACCATTATCAAAACGCCTGCCATTTCAAATATATATACATACATTTCACCAGGAAACCCTTTTGAATTTTAATTTTTCTTGGTAATATTTCCCCTGTAACCTGTTTCAATAGCCCGCTTTCACCTACATTCCTTGCATTCAACGGGAAGTTGATGAGCTGAAGTTCTTTCCCAAATAATGTTATTTTAACATTCCTTGTCAGAAGTCCAGTAAAAAGCGACCTTGTTTATATCCATTTGCAATCACCTCTGTTGATCGCTTTGGTAGTGCGCGAACTATCTCACAGTTTTGTGAATATGCCTGGTGTCCCAGGCAAGGTGTTTATGTATTCTGGCGACGAGTGTAATTAGAAACTCACGCATGAATAAAACAAACCATTGCGATGATCCACGTTTCTTATAAAAATTAACGGATATCCGTGTAGATTTTGCTAATATCTTAAATTTCAGTAGCACAGTTACGATTAACGGCACTCAGCTGTGTTACAGTAGATGCCTTACCCAGTGCCAAACGGTATAATTTAAATCCCTCTTTATTCAAGCGTTTTACATCGAAAAATCAAACTTACATTAAAAAGACCATTCTGGTTGATTGCATTAAAGATTCCATTGAATTGAACTGATATGTAATTGGGAGAATCGCTTAATCGTATTTAAAACAACAGTTCGGTACTTTGTTGACATACAAATAAACTAAATTTGTTGCTTAATAGCACTTGCCCACCATTGTAGGTAATAGTAACCATATTCTCATTCTTAATTCCGAGATATCTCCTAATGTATTAATTAAAGAAAGCATTCAAGGCCATGTTTAT